CTTGCTAAGGGATTACAATCCTGTGATGCTTTTAGTACCCCTGGATCTGATAATGTCTGAGTTTCTATCTACCTTTGGTTTCCAAGTTGCATGAGATAATACATTTCTCTTTTTGAACAAGCCAGGTTGAGTTGGGTTCTATGTCACCTGCACCCCCAAAGAATCTTGACTATTATGTTATGAAAAGATATTCTGGCATCTCTGTAGATCCTGGCCTGGGTTTTAAATCTCTGGACAAACAAGTTAAATGAGTCTGAAAGCTGATTCTCCCTCAGAGCCCCCAGATGCAAGCCCAGGCTGGCCAATGTTCTGAACTGTCAGTGATCATTTCAAATGGTTTTATACATACTTGTGACAAACTCATTACTTTGGGCTTGTGAGGGTCTAATCAGAGGGTCTAGTTGAGTCACCCTGGCCCAGACTTCTGACCTAAGGAAACTATGAGGAAAAAACAAGTGGGGGTGGGGCCTCCCCGGTGGCGCAGTGGTTGAGCACTGAGCTGCGAAGCTACCCGAAGCCTCTGCAGTGCTGGTTTGATCCCCGGTCTCTGGGCGAGGGTCCCACATGACACGCAGACCTCTCCTGCCACACCCGCTGCTCCCCTCAACAGTGTACTTCGGTTCTTCTGCCTGTTCTGCTCCCCGCTCTGGCTCTGGTGAATTCTCTCACCCTCCCGCGCTTCTGACTGTACCCAGTGCTTGTATAAATAAATAAATCTTTAAAAAAAAAAACAACAAAAAACAAGTGGGGGTGGTCCCACTTGCATGGCCCCAAACACTTTAAGTGCAACATATTTAAAAACCAAGTTCTTTGAAACTCCACTTTCATTGCCAAGAGATTCTCTGTTGTGCTCATGATTCTCTGCTGTGAGTCTAGCCCAATCCTACAGTCATTGGCACATAAGCACATGACTCACTTGTATTTTTCCCTGGTCCTATCGGTCCAGGGAAAGCATCACCAGGTGTAGGCTGGGTCAAGGAGACAAGGAAGCTTCTGCACCTGCTTTTTAAACACCAATTTGGCACCAGACTCTCAGTGACCATTCTACATCTGCTCATTTTTCAATCCTGAGAAGGAGTCATTACATTGAGGAGGGATATCATCACGGAAGAGGGGTCAAGGGGAGCATGCCAGTCCCAGACAGCACCACATTAAGAAAGACTCCTGAGCCAAGTAAGGTTGCTACCACCAACACCCATAAACTCCTTGTCTGGGGGCCACGAAGGTAATTTAGTGTCTCCAACTCCAGAAGATTTTGCATTTATCAGCAGCAGCTGCACGGCTCCTGGGCTGTATATCATAAATCTTTAGGTGTATTTCTGAGTTGATGTCCCCTTATAAATAATACAGGGAATGCTTTTTTTTTTTTTTTTCCCCAAACGACTGCTTTCACGCTCTCTTCTGTTTTTAGAGTGACCTTCTTTCTCAGTCAAGTTGGAAATGTCCAAGAGACTCATTTATTGAGGCCTGTGATGTGCCAGGTAATAAAGGGGAAGGGAGGTATACAGGAGCCTCACTTTAACACTAATGGTCTCCTAGCAGAAAGAACTTAGGGGGATTCTGGCAGTAGCTAGTCAAACTCAAAATGCAAATGTTCTTTGATGGAGAGAATCACTCGCTTATGAGCTTAAGGATATCCCTGAAGACTTGCAGGTTAATAGTAAGTATCTTGAAAACAAAATTTAAACAAGAAGACTACTGTTAAATAAAAAAGGCATAACTTTAAGATATTTTGCAGAAATTTAAAAGAGTGACAGCCAGATGGGTACTGATAAGATCTATTATTGAGTGAAAGCAGCACATTGTAAGAGTTTATGTATAGCACAACATACATAATATAGCATCTAATTACTTTGTTTTTTTAAAAGCCCACAAATATGCTATATATTTTTGACAAGTGTGTATAGATTTATAAATATAATGCCTGTACACCATTATGCATATACACCACAGATGGTAGGTGTGTTTGGGAAGGGAAAGGAGATTGGGGTGGTGGCCAAGAGGAGATAAACTTTCCCAGTTATATTTTAATTTCTTGAAGGGGGTAAATATTCATAGAAAACTAGTGCAGTTAAAAAGAGTTGGAAGTCAAGGCACCTGTAAGCACAGTCCTCTGGTTAAGAGATTTCCCTCAGCAGACCACAATTCCCCTCAACTGTATGAGAAAATTCAAACAAATAATCGCAGGGATCCCTTCCAATAGAGAAGTACTAGAATATTTAAATTGTAAACATATTCCAAGGGTAGAACTCAAAATTTCCAGGGCTTAACACCATGGGATCTGGCACTCAATAGGCAGTTAATAAATATCTTTTGGATCGACAGTGAATTTTTAAATAATGATCCTTATGTGGTTTTAATATTCCCTGCCAGTAAACTTTTCCAGGTAAGTGATCCATCCCCTGGATAAATATCAGAAAGGCACAGCAGTGTGGCAAATATAAACCAGATTTTATTTTATTTTTTTAATAATAAATTTTATTTTTATATTCCCCATACAATTGCACAATTGCAACCCCCTTATTTCGACCCCAATCCCTCCCCTCCCTCCCCTCCCGCCCTCTACCCCCCATAGAGTGCCTCTGGTTCCTAGTTTTTTGTTGATTTTGATTTTTGCTTTCTTATAGTTATTCATTTTCCTGGTCCCTTATTTAAGTTTTCTAGATTCCTGCTATGAGTGAGACCATCCGGTATTTTTCTTTTTCTTTCTGGCTTATTTCGCTGAGCATGATCCCTTCCAGCTCCATCCATGTTGCTGCAAATTGCATGTGTTTATCTTTTTTGAATGCTGAGTAATATTCCATGGTGTATATGTACCACATCTTCTTGATCCAGGCATCTATTTTTGGGCATTTGGGTTGTTTCCAAAGCTTAGCTATTGTAAATAGTGCTGCTTATAAACCAGATTTTAGAGAGAGTCAAGACTGGGTTCAAATCCTGGCCCTTCTACTTATCTGCTTTGTGACAGTGAGAAAATTACTGACCCTCTCTCTAAGTCAGAGGCAATGCTGAGCTGTTACCAAGGATGGTTAATATGTCTGCTCTACCCTCAAAGTATGGTCAGTTATTCAGTCCACAAACAAACATTTATTGAGCACTAACTGTGTGCCCAAGGACAGAAACATGAAGAAAGCAAAGAGCTTTATAGTGCCTTTTTGCTTCCAGTCCCACTGCTGTGCTTGATGCAGGCACCACTGCTCTGAACTGCAGCTGGACAAGCCTATCGATGTGGTAGGGGTAAAGGCAAGGGAAGGGAGAAGAGGCTCTGGAGAAGGCTGGCTGGGGGTGCTGAGCACTCACCTGCATCATGCTCAGCTACTGGAGTGGAGATAAGACTATGTGTGAATCACTGTTCCTTAATCTCTGGGTCTCATATTTCTGTTCCTTAACCTCAGGGTAATGATGTCTACTTCCTGGGATTCCTCTGGGCATCAAATAAATACCAACATTAATAAAACAGTTAATTTTCTTTCTAGGTGCTCTGAGCAAAGAAGAAAGTGTGCATCATGTCATTAACCCTGATGCCAACCCTGATCTATTTAGGGGGAAACATGAATAGAGAAGTTAAGCAACGCATCCAAATCTACAGCTTCAGAGAGCAAATATAATAGTGAAATCCAGATGTTCTGACTTCAATCCGTGTAAGAAACCACTGTAGTCTCTCATCTTGCACCAAATCGGTGTCAAACAACTTAGGGTATCATTCAAGGGCTAAGCTAATATCATTGTAATTATGTAACTTGGATATTATGTTAATTGGCATTCAGGTGCTACCTTGACCACCTCCAGCTCTGCCTCTGCTGCCTTCTACATTGGCTGCCAGCGGGGACACAAAGGTGTTTGGTTATCAGGAGAAAAAATTCTTCATTATTTGGGGTTCACTGAGGGCATGTTTCTATGTATAGGGCTTTGTTTTTTAATTAAGAGCAGTAATCAGATAATCTTGCTTTAATTAACTCCCCAGATGCACCCCATTCTTGGAGCCTCCCTTTGATATTTTCTCCATCAATTATTTCCGCCTAAGATTATCTACAGACATGTGCCAGACATTTGCCATTTGCTGAATATGCCTGAAAGGTTAACGTGAACTTCTACCCCCTTCTTTTTGTAGAAACAACGCCCTGCTTCAGAGCAAACACGTTTCGAGACAGGAAGGGGTTGTCTGGGTCTGCTCCATTAGTCTGTGATTATTCTTTCTACTTTATCACACTGCTTCTTCTGTTATCACAGAAGCGGTGTGCATTTCATCTTAATTATGCATCTGCTTAATCCATAATTTCTGATTTATAGCCATTAGCTCCTAATTACAAGAGGGCCGCCCTTGAAAAGAGAAATAAAATGAACCGACAGAACTGGAACTAAAAGGCAAATTTTAAGTCAAACACTAAGAGACCCATTTGTTGATTCCTGAGACCCATTTGTTGGAGCTACCTCCTTGCAGTCCTATGGAATTGTGAGGGTGTTGTCTCAGGCTGTTACTGAGTTTACCACCCTCTGTGGTAGGGAAAATAGGAAACCCTGACATTCAAACAAAGCTAGGTGGGAATTATCCAGCCTATCTTTATACTTAGTCCCTATTAAAAAAAATTCAGGGAATGTTTTTATAAAGAAAAATTGAATCCAGAACCACCTATACATGAAAAACTAGCAGGATTTGTCTTAGGCAGAAGGAAACTATAACAGATTCATGGCAATTTAAAAGTTTTCACCCTGTGTTATTTGCAATTATGTAGAAAACCATGCTTTTTGGAGGGCTGCATACATCCTCCTCATTTGAAGCAGCAAATGCAACTCTATTTCCTGTTTTGCACATGAAGACATGGAGGGTGCAGAGAGGGCAACTGATCGACCCATAGCCACATAGCTAGGAGGTGGCAGGTCATGTCTCAAACTGGCCTACTTGACCTTGCATAGGACAGAGGAAATGGAAGACTCAAACAGCAATCTTCAAAGCTTTTCAAGCTATTGGTTACCAAGAGGCAGACAGGACACATGCTTACCTGGGGCTAAGGACATGGCTGCTGATGTCTGACTGTCGAGAGGGCGTCCTCACAGTGTCTGTGGCCAGGGACAGAGTGCAACTCAACCAGGACTGCAGACTGCTTTCTGGCTGGGAACCGAGGCTGGAGATGTTATCTCTAGAACCAGAATGTAGGATGCCGTCAACACCACAATGACAACCACAGTGACAGCAATAACTAGATATTTGCTCCTTAGTGTAAATCAGGCATTGCACTATATGGGGTACATGCATAACCTCATTTAGTGCTCTAACTCCATCTCTGAGAGGTAGGGGCCAGTGTTATTCCCATTATCCAAATGAGAGTTATAGGATTTGAAGAGGTCAACCTGGGTCTTAGATAAGGTCATCCACTTACACAGAGATGAAGTTGGGGTGCAAATCTCAATCCTGATTCTAATGTCCATGCTACTAGCCACTGCACATTGGGAACATGTATCTTCAAATACAGATGTTGAGATATCTCCAATATTGAAGTAAGACTTGGCACTGAATATAACACCAAATGATATGTTCATTGAACATGTCTTAACTCCTTGTCCAACTTAACTGGGATGTCTCTATGGACAGGGGCTTTATTTTCATATCCCAATTCTAAAAATAACACATGATATATATATATATATATATATATATATATATATATATATGAAAGAGCTAAAAGCATGAACTCTGCATTGACCATGTCCTTAAGATAGCCATCTTAGCAGAGTAAACATCTATATAAATAGCCATTAAAGTAAAGGAGAAAATCATTAAGGCCATAATGGGGACAGTGGATAGGTTGTAAAGAAAATAAGGAGCAAAACATGATTAATTTCTTGGAGACATGAAGGAAGGCATCAAGTAGGAAGTTGAGGTATATCTTGTTTGAAGGTTAGGGCTTGGCCATGCAGATAGTGGAGAAAGGAATCTTAGGTGGGAGCCAAGGCATATACCCAGGTATGGAGGCTATAGAAGGGCAGGGCCTTCATGGTATGGAAAGTAGAAGTCCCCAGGTAGAGAGAGAAGGGTCAGAATGCATCCGGCTCAAATGTCTGTCTGAAAGTTGATTCTTAGGTAACAGGGAACCACTGAAAGTGCTTGAGGACAGCTGCATGACAAATCAGGGATGGCTCCCAGTCTAAAAGAATTTAGACAGTTCAATATGTGCCCAGTGCTGGATGATATAACCATGGAGTTAGGACTTTTATGGACATTGCTGATAACTCTCCAAGTGGGTATGGATGTTTCCTCTGAATTTGGATGCAGAGAGTGAGGGGCTCCGCCTTGATTCAGTTTAGGGGGCTAACTTACATCTCTTTCCTGCCACTGCCGCCACAGTTCACTGCTGTCTGGACACTAGAAGGAGGCACAAAACTCTGTTACTCTGTGTTGCTGGGGGTTGGTAAAGAACAGTCTTTTTTTCATTTGACATATAATTGACATAAAACATCGTATTAGTTACAGGTATACAACATAATACATATATATTGCAAAATAATCTCCACAATGCTGATGTCTTTCTGTATACATAGCCACTAAGGTTTTTTTCTTGTGATGAGGACTTTCAAGATCTACTCTCTTAGCAACTTTCAAATATACACTACAGTATTAATAACAATAGGCACATTATATAATGCTGCATATTACATCTCATGACATTTCTTTTATCCCTGGAGGTTATACCTTTTGACCCCCTTTGCTCATTTCGCCCACCCTACTCACCTCTGGCAACCGCCAATATGTGGTTGCTCCCAGTCTAAAAGAAGTTAGATAGTTCAATATGTCCCCAGTGCTGCATGATAAAACCACAGACTCTTTTACCATATGGAGAAAAGAGTGGGCTGTAGGCTCCGTGAGGCCGCTGCATGCCTGCCTATTCCCTGCTGTATCTCCTGTCCCTGACAATGAAGATGATGATGAGCATGATATGAGGAAGGAGATGACGATGACGATGATTTTAATCTGTTGAGTGGGCTAGTAGGGGCCCATGAAGGGCAGATGACCTGTCTACTTGGCTGGGCAGCCAAGACTAGAACCTGGTCTCCTAACACATGGTCAAAGCAGAAGTCCCCAGGTAGAGAGAGAAGAGTCAGAAGGCACCTGTGGTTTGCTCTTTCACCTCATATTAGATCATATGGCTTTTCAAAAAAAATGGTGCTAGGCACTTGTGGGCAGGGGATTGCTGATGAACAAGGTCACTAATTAAATGTCTTCTGCTGTGTTCCTTCAGGGTGAACTTTTGCCAGACAACTTCACAACTTCAGTCTAAATGCAAACACTACCTGGGAATAACACAGAGATGCACCCCCCCGCCGCCCTCATCACAGTGACAGATGCGAGTTCAACAGAATGACAGGTGAATTACTCAGTAGAGAATAAACATCTTGACAAGGAAAGGGGAGGCAGGGGTGTGTTGGACAGGCCAGGAGAGCTTGATCATTAGAAGTATGGCTGATGGGGTCAAATCACACTCCCATCACTTACTGCGTGATTTGGGTCCAGTTCCTTCACTTCTCTAAGTCCCAGTTTCTTCTCCATTACCAAATGGTATCAACCTCAAACCTCAGAGAGCAGTGATGAGGACAATGCATGTAAGACAATGTAGCCTGGCACCAAGCCCTTGGGAAAGAGTGCCAGGTACTACAATTATTTCCTATGATCAAGTAGTATAGGCCCCTGCTCTCCGAGAGCACCACCAGCTGGCTGCCCTGGCCTTCCAGGCTAGAAATGTGCTTAGAAATCCATGTGGCATCATTTAAACCTGCGCTATCCTGCACAAGGGCCCTGCATCATATTTTAATGAGGCATCAACCTGCACAGAATAAAGGAGAAATCCTTTAAGCTGTTTCTCCAGGCCTGGGGCGCGCAGGTTACTCAAGGGGGTAAGGAAAATGAGAAGGTGCCAGGGCTGGAGGAAAGGGGATGCGGGCAGATTCAAAGTCTTTTCTTTTATGTAGTGGAAGCTTCTTAGTCTGGCCACAGCCTGGGCCCACTAATGAGTCAAACCATCAGACTGGCCCTGAATGGCAGCTGCAGCCTTTGGTCAAATGCAGATCTTTAACGTGTCTGAATGTAGCTAATTTTAGCCAAGTTAAAAGGAGGTATGGAAAATGTACAACTTACACAGCACTAGATGAGTCCTTTCTAGAACATTCATCTCAGATTGGGCCAGCTGGAATGGCTACACTCTCAGTTGACCCAAGAGTCAGAGGCCATCCATTGGCCTCTCCCCTCCAAAGCCTGTGCCCAGGCGAGAGAAGAGCCACAGACCCTGAGCCAGAAATAGACGGGGCTGCCTGTCAGCTGACACCTCCCTCCCTCCTTGAGTAATGAGCATGCTCCAGGCCCAGGGGAGCAGCTTAAAGCGCTTCTCCATTAATCTGTGAAGGTTGACGCCACAGTTGAAGACACAAGGCAGGCCTGTGCAGGACGGCACGGGTTTAAATGTAGCTGCGCAGACCACCTGGCTTTCTGAGCACGTAGCCATGTTTCCAGCCTGGAAGGCCTGCTACACTCAGATCTAATTCCCAACATGGGCAAATGTGACTTTTCATAATTTGAACAAGTCTCTCAAAGAACCTCACCTCCAGCTGAAGCACCACTCTCTCTCTCTTTCCCTCTCTCTCTCTCCTGGGTGGGTTTGAATCCTAATTGAGAGCTCAGTTTGGAGAAGAACCTGAAAACAGGTATAAACGGGTGCGGCAGCGCCACAGCGCCACGGCAGCTTGACGGCGATGTGGGGTTTGCAAATCCACACAACAGATTTGGTGGTGGGTGAACGTGGACTGGCAAAGTCCGTGCTAACCCATTCATACTCTTCACAGGCGTCCACGCTCGTCTCCGGGCCCTGCCACGGAAGGCAGACTGCCCGGCCGTTCCTGGCTACGCACGCGAGTCGGCACCCCCAGGCGGGAGCCGCAGTGCGCGTTAGCACCTGCTGGCAGCGCTTAGCGGGCCACGACTGACTGTAAACTTGAGGCCCACTTGAGTGCAGGCTCCCAATGAGCAGATGCCAGACCGCGTGGTTTACCCCTCACTGCCCTCTCAGGACATGGGCTACACCTGCTGACGCCGAGTTTAAGCGCTTACATCAGCGCACCATTGCCTAAAGCTGATGCTCCCTCCGGAGAAGTACTAGTAGCCTTAAATCCAGGGAGTGAGAAGGGCCTCCCCAGTGGCCTAGCGGGTTAAGGCTCAGTGCCGTGGTGCTACCGCTGCTGCTACGGCCTGAGTTCGATACCCGGCCCAGGGAGCCAACCCACGTAAGGTGCAGGGGGCCTCTCCTCTTGCCCACTGCCCCCGAGTGGTGTAATTCAAGTCATGTTAGCTCTTCGCTCACTCCTGTGTGTCGCCCCTTCCCCGTGTCTGTCCACTCCCCCCCCTCCCTCGTCTGCCCAATTTCCGCCCCCCCGCTTGTCCACCCCCAACATGAGACCAGTTCTAATGAAACGTGAAGAGTATGAATGGGTGTAAAGAGCAGGAACGGGCACAGTGCAGGTTTTCTGATCCCATGCAGACCGGGTAAAGGAGTCAGTAGTCCTCAGTGGTTTTGCAGGTTTTTTATTGGGGTTCACCAGGCATATGGCAGGGGTGCTGGCTGGCAGGCCTCCCAGCCCCCAGCAAGTCTTCACTCTATCTGAGCTCTCTGGAGTTCATTCTGCTGCTTCTTGGCTTCTGCTTCTACTGCTGGCGTCCCTGTGACGCCGCCCTTAAAAGCACAGTCTTAGCCCAGGTGAATCCCATCTACCTATGCCCACACCCTATTCCAGGTGCCCGCCATCAGGCATGCATTCAGGACAAGGATCCATCATCTATCCTGATGGCGGAAGGGCAGAAAAGCCTGATATTTTCTTTACCCTACAATGGGTTAGCACGGACTTTGCCAGTCCACGTTCACCCACCACCAAATCTGTTCTGTGGATTTGCAAACCCCACATCGTCGTCAAGCTGCCGTTGGCGCTGTGGCACTGCCGCACCCGTTTATACCTTGCAGAGGACTACACAGAAAGTCTCCTCCAGCTCCACGATGCCGAGATCGTGCAGTTGAGAAACTCCTACGAGGTGCACAGAGAGCTCTTTGAAGGCGTCCAGAAGTGGGAAGAAAGCTGGAGACTCTTCCTAGAGTTTGAGGTACCGCCTTGTCCATCTTACCTGCAGAACTAGAGTCAGTGCCCGGTTTCCTTTGCACGTTACTGGGTTCTGGGGCCCTATTTCATCAGGTCAAGTTACTGCTGACCCCCCGTGTGTGTGACCCTTGTACGTGGGAGCACTAACCCCAGAGTCAACAGCTTGAATAAGTTTCTTGCATAAGGGACGCCCAGAGGCGGGCGGTGCAGATGGCTGTGGCTACTCTACCTAGTTCCTGGCTGCTGAGCTCACTTCTTCACCACCACTAAGAGCTGGGCCTCATCCGTGTCCAGGGAGGCTCCAGAGCGCACCCCCCCAGCATATGGGTGGCTTAGGGCCAGATGGGAGAGAGAGCCCCTTGAAGACAAGAGCCTGCATCCTCCGAGGGCCCCTCCAGGCTCGCCACAGCAGCTCTGCCCCGATGCTAGCAAAGCAGGGAGAATCCCTCAGGCTCCAATCTAAACCTCTTACCCCTCTTACCCCAAGTGATGAGACAATTTAGAGGAGGGTGCAGTGTGGAGCTGCCAGAATGGAGTGCAGGCTGGCCTGGGGGCAGGAGCCAGGGCTGCTCTGGACAGAAACCCAACAACCTAGCAAGCTGCGCATGTCTTTGCATGGTTGATAACCAGTTTCATTGCACTGTGCCCACAGAACATGGTTGCTACAATATTAATTCCTTGAAATATGTTGAGATTTCTTTGTGGGCATTTTTTCCCCAGTCTCATCCCATCTGATGCTATTAGTGACGTCTATGCTGCTTGTAAATTTCAAATCCAAGTTACAAGACAGCTAGTTTTGAGCAAGATCTGCTGAGAATTAGGACAGGCTTCCTAAGAGCCACTGTGGGGTCAGGGCTGGCTTCACGGGCTTGTAACCCATACCCAGAGGCCCTGTGCTGGGTTTGCTGCTCTGCTGTTCACTGTCTTGAAATTCTGAATAATATTTGAACTTGAAGTCTCACATTTGCATTTCACAGTGGACCCACAAATTAGGAAGTCGATCCTGCCTGAGGTTCTGGGGCACTCCAGGGAACTGGAGGCCACAGAGACTGGCTTCTGGGGCCATCTCAAAAGCAGAAGAAAAGTGGGTGAGCCGGGAGGAGGAAGAGGAGGGCCATGGTGGAGGAGGAAGAAAGGAGAGCCATCTCCCGTGACCTTACCAGGCGCGCTGCCCCTCTCGCTCCCCAGGCAGCTTCCTCTGCACTTACTTGCTCTTCTGCAGAGCTGCCCCTGGCGGCTGCCTCTCTCTTCCCATCCAGATCTCAGCTCTCCCAGAGGCCTTGTCTACCTACCCTGCAAGTCATCATAGCCTGCAGCCTCATAGGATGAAGAACAAGGAATAACAAGAGGCAAGTGGAACAACCCAAACACCTGGCATGGTTTCTGGGATGGAACTGCTGCCAGGTAAGGATTGAATGAATGAATGAATGAAGCTGATGACTGTTGAGCCCCACCGTGTACAAGGTACGGTGCCAGGGAGACGTACACTTTCACTTACTCCTTCATATTAACCCATCTTACAGATGAAGAGACTGAGACTCAGTGAGGCTGAATAATTTTTTTCAGGGACATACAGAAATTAACCTTTGGGTTCTTGAGAAGAAACCAGACTTGAGTAGAAACCAGACTTGTTGAAAGGCAGAGCTCATACCTCCCACTGGCTCCCCCACTGCTCACTGCGATAACCCCATATGTGTGGCTTGGGGTTTTCCAGGGACAGCACACCATTTCTTTACACCTGTTGTCCTAGAAACATTCCACACTTTACCCTGAAATGCAGGCAAGATCCCTCCCACCTTTAGGAACTGTGGGGCAGGTGCTGTGTGAAAGTTAGAGGCCCATACAGGATCCCAGCTGGAGGAAGAGCTAAGACCCCAAGACGGTGAAGATGCAGGCAAAAACTGGGGTTCAGCTCAGCTGCTTGCAGACCCAGGGGACTGGAGCTCAGAACAGCCAAATCAGAACTGGGGAAGGGGTTAAACAGAGAGGCTTGTTGCCCAGAGAGGGATAGGTCAGGGAAACTCCGATGAGGATGAGGGTGAGCGCAGGGTCCCCTCAAGGCCCGAAAGGAACCTTCATAAGCAGACACTGGCCTGATGTCCAGTGAAATAACTAAGATGAGCAGCCATTCACTACCATTGCGGTGAATGCAAAACTCTAGTGTTCCTCTCCACAGAAAAGCCAGCCCAGCAACGAGCGGCTCACAATTACAGAGGGAGTTCTATCTCCACACGGAGCAAACTGGAGGAGGGCGGCGGACGGGAGGGCCCGTGTGCCCTCCCGCATGAACATCTTCCCAGGAGAGTCTGAGGTGATGAGCCTCCTAGCAGCCCTGCCCAGCCCAGGGCAGCCCCCGGGACAGCCTGTGCCCACCTCTGAAGTCCGTGCAGGTCTCACACGAGCAAAAATTCAGTGAGGGGACAGTGCTAAGGATGCATGTGTGACTGCCGCACACATTTTAGAAAATATAAATAAACTTGAAGGAAACAAAAATTTTCGTCACATGAATCGCCCCCCCCCACCTTGGCCTTAGAATGTTGCTATGCTCCCTTCCAGGCTTTTCTCTTGACTCGGGTGGGCAGCTCTAATAGAGGACCAGGTCTTCTGGCTAGACCACAGAGACATGGCAGCTCTGTCCGCTTTCCTCACTGGGCCTCTCACACCCACACCTCCCACAGGTCATAGCCATTCCCTGCTTTCACCTTAGCAAGAGGGGTCTGCAGGGCATAGTTCTGTGCAGGAAATGCAGCGCCTGTGCATTCTGACTCCACGTGCAAAGCAGGATCCTCCAGAGAGGAGAACGCTGCACTCCGGGGTCTGATACTTGATTTTTCTGACTATAGCGTGAACCACTCCCCACAGAGGCGAAGACTGCCGTGTGGAGGGTGGCTTGCTGGCAGTGGGAGAGACCCCCCCCCCCCCCGAGTGTCAGCTTACAGCAGCCTGATCCTGTCCAAAGCTATGGGAAGAAAATGTCTCTCCCAGATGCCCAGGCCAGGCTGTACAGGCAGGGGTGGGGGTAAAGAGGCTGCAGCAAGACAGGCGGTGGTGACTTCCACAGAAGTAACATGCCGAGGCTGGAGGGCGGCCCTGGGGGCCAGACACTAGAGCCCATCTGCAGGGTGGACAATCTGGGTTGGCGTGCGCAGTCAGGGCACCTCAAACTCCTCCGGTTGGGAGGCTGCCCACGGCCTAGGCAGAGGAGCGGAGGTAGTGGGCAGTGGCTTGTCTTCTGAGGAAGGAAAGAAGCCCTAATATTGAGGTTATGTGCTCTCGCCAATCACCAGGATCACCTCTTCGTCCTAGCGTCAGTCGTTGCTTCTGTAAGGATGCTCACTGTTCCGTGCCTACACAGCTTCTGTTCTCACAGGACTTCTATGTCCCAGGCCCCGTTTTCAGTCACCGAATAACCTACTAGACTCTCTCTCGCACCCCTCCGAGGTAGGCGGTGGGTTGATGATAACAAGCATCCCGTCCGTAGGGTGAAAATGGTCAAAACCTGACAGTTTCATGTGGGTTTTCCGACATCATCAGGCCCCTCTACAGATGCGGGTCAGGCCCATGCAGGACATATAACCTGCCCAAGACCACACACTGGGGTCCACTTTGAAGCTGCTCCCCCAGACTGATTCCCCAAAGGCAGCAATTTGGGGGTAACAAGGAGACATTAGCCCCAGTAGGGAAGCATCCTGTCTCTCTCCCTCAAGCCAGCCCGTTTTCCCCCCAGCCCCCAAAAGATGAAACTCCCAGATTTCCCTGACCCAAGAGTAGGAGCTCTGACCACAAAAGACCACAACAGTCTCCCCAGGGTACAGCACTCCCTTGCGGCACCCAGCCCCTCCCTACCTCTCTGTGTCACTGTCGCTGGACGCCACCTCTTCCAAGGCTGCCTGCAGGTCAGCAATGCGCCGGATGGACGTCTCCAGGTCTGTCTGGAGGGTCTGTCTCACCGCTGCAAGCTCTTCCACGTACTTCTCCTGGAGACGGAGACACAGCACATGTTGGCGTCGGGCATGAACCCCCACCGCAAGAGCTCTAGGGGAGACACTCCCAGGCTGAGCCTGGTTTCATCAAGCCCCTGTGACAGCATGGGTACCCAGGAGAGGTGAGCTCTGTGGCTGGGTTACTGGGGCCTCACAGAGATGCTTTGAAGTTTATAAAGGAAATGGGTACTTGGGGGCTCCGGGGCATAGCCACACCAGAGCTCACTCACCCACACCAGGGATGCTGAACCCAGAAAGTCCAAACCTACAGCCTTGCTAACTGCACTGCCAGGCTGCCAGTGCAAAGTGCACCCCTAGTACTCCGTGGGTAATGGGTCAATGCTTCCCAGACACTCACACAGGTGGTTCTGGAAGCTGAGCCTCTGCCCCAGGGGTGGATCTGGAGCAGGAGGTGGGGGGAAGGAGAACAGAATGGCTTCCTTTCAGCTCCTACAACTACTCCCCCACTTTCCATCCTTAAAGGTGGCAAAGGCAAAGATAGCAATGGGTGGGGCTTCCAGCAGGAAACCACTGCTGGCTTTGCGCAGCACTTTCTGTGTCTGGTGCTGAGGGGGTGTTTCCACTCAGCAGCGCATTCCTCTCAAGCCTGACAGATCGGTCACTGTTATTGCTCCCATTTCACAGATGAGCAACCTGGGGACATGCAAGTTTAATGGTAATGCTAGAGCTCGCTTTGGCACATCCGACTTTCCTCTCAGTGCACGCCCCCTGACTCTCTGATATTGCCCTAATCGGATTTTGTCCAGATGCTAGAAAGTCTCTGACTTCCATTTGCAAGATATTTCACATCCACCCTTTAATGCAGTGACTGTCAACAGAGGCTAGGTGTCCCCCGGGACACTGGGAGATGTGGAGAGTCATTTTTTATTGTCACAACTTGAGGGTATCACAGGTATCTCATGGGTAGAGGCCAGGGGTGCTGCACAGCAACCCACAATGAGCAGGATGAGAATTACCCTGCCCAAAGGTCAATAGTGCCCTTTCTGGAAACCCTGGGTTAAACCTGGAATCCCGCCTGCTGGGAATTGATCCTACCAGGAATAAATCAAAAGGCAGAACAAGGCTGTGTCCTGAGGATGCTTGGAACGGCGCTATTAATGACACAGAGAAGCTGAAAGCCGCCTCATCACCCAACGACTGGGAATGTAGGGAAATCACAGTGTGTCACTGGGATGCCATTAGGCAGACATTAACATCAGAAATAAGGATTAGGGCAGCGTGGAATGCTTCTGTGAAATAATATTAAGCAAATGGAATAGAACCGAGAAACACCATGCCCGCATCTGCATGCGAACACCACACGTACACTTGGAAAAATCCTTGGCGAGTTGAGAATACTTACGGGTGGGGCTGGAGGGTTTCTGGGCTTTTCTTTTAAGTTGTTTGAATGATGTAAATTTTATTTTTAACTGTTTTAAGGAACATGCACATACATACATCAACTAATGAGAGTGTAGAGGGGTGAAAATATAAGGATTTAGATCAGATCTAAGTGCAGCTCCTAGCTCCCCATTTTACTCACTAGCTGTGTGGCCTGGAACAGCCCGTGGTCCCTCTCTGACATCACCTTTAGTTGGCTGATGAGGAAAGGGGCCAGAAAAGTCACTCAGAGCAGTAAGGAGCAGAGCCTGGATTTGAACCCTGGTCCATCCTGCTCCCAGTGCAGTGATTCTGGGGCTCTATGTGCACACCCAGAGGAGGTCAGTGTGGACCAGGACTGCTGCCTGCTACAGGGACATGCCTAGTCCTCCTGGGTAGAGCAGTGTGTCCATCTACACCAGGTAAGTCTCTGCCTGTCAACTGATTTTGAGTCTTTTCTAATTTGAGAAAGAGAGAGCTGCAAGCAGGGCCGGGTGGAGCTGGAGAGAGTCAGGGTGGTGTGCGAGGGGCCAGTGGTACCGTGGAGCTGACTGAAGCCTCCAGCAGTGAAATCCCATCCTGGGGCTGACAAGGTAAGCGGAGGCCTCAGGCGGGGCCTGAGTGGGAAGCCGAGGACTGTCAGGAAATGACAGATAAACAACTGTGGGATGCCAAGGTGGGTGCTGCCCCAGGCTGCCAGCAGAGCAGCTCATACAGATACCCCCAAAATGGCTGGGTATAAAATCCCAGCAGCTTATGGGAGCATCTGCCTAAGCCCAGCTCCTTCCTATGACCAGACCAACAGAGCCTCTGGGAGTCGACCACCTTCTCTCTCAGGACAAGGCACTATGTCTTTGGAAGACAGGGAGAGACTTTCTCAGAGCCATTTTAGGCATGTGGGGAAGCCCAGAGGAGAAAATGACCTGACTGAGGTCCCACAGTGGAGAGACCACAAAGCTGAACTGGAGACCCTGGGCTCAGTTTCTCTGGCGAGAGATCTCTAGGCCACATGCTGCGTGGCCTGGAGGAACACAGACGTCCCCACAGAACATTGAGCACATGCCAGGAAAGTTTGCCTGTGACCATGCTGTGCAGAGGGAACTAAGGCCTAAAATCAACCTGAGGAAGCCTGTTGGTAGGCAAGAGGACAGGACAGGGTGGGCACTGTGTCTCAAGGATGAGTGGCTGGGGCTAAGCGGGTGGACAGACAAAATGGGAACCCAAGATAGTCAAACCCATAATATGAAAACTCTGGAGTTTGGATGCCCAGGTTCAAATCCCAGCCCTGCCACTCACTGGCTGTGTGATCTTTAGCAAGTTACACAACTGCTCTGGGTAAAATAAGTGCATTAGTGGCCTCCCTGCACAGGGTTGTCATGAGGACTACAAGAGCTTGGCAGAAAGAAAAGGCTTGAGCAATGGTTGCACTGTAATCATTTAATTCTCAAAGGAGATAAGGAGCATTGGGCAGTTGTCCCCATGTCACTGGGGAGGTCAGTCAAGTCCACAAAGAGAATAAGGAGATGGGATGCAGAGCCCTGGTCCAAAACCTTTTCACTATCCTTAAGGGGAAAGACCTGGCTGAAAATCAAGAGCAGCAGAGTCATGAGTTGGCTAAACAGAGCGAGGATTGTTGAGAGCAAGAAATCATGAAGGGCAGAGGGTACGTGGGCCCAGGACAGGGTCAGGGGGACTGCTACCTCCTCCCGCCTTCCACCATGGCCCTGTGCTCTCCACACCCCATCCTCCACCTGCCAGGGGAGTCATATCAGGCTCCATGGGAACACCCCAAGGAGACAATTTAGAAAATGTAGAGTCTTGTGTAATCAGCAATCAGCAAACCTTTCCTGCTTCTACTTGAAAACCAAATCGAGCCTGCTGATTACAGAGACCAAGTCATTAGGCAAAATGGATGCGGTGCCCCAAACAGTCTCCCTGGGGCAGACAAAACAAGGTTCCAGCCAGAGACCACTCAAGAGACACGAAAGGGCACACCCCAGAGGGGCATACACGGGACAAGGAGTATGAGGGGGACACTTCACACTCATCTCAGGACAGGGCGTCATGCCTTCTCCCACCCTCCAAGGACCAAGAAGTGGGCCACAATGAGGTCAAGACCATGACAAGCTAAGGAGGCTGTGCAATACAGGTCTGAGCTTAGTCTTCTCTGATGCTCTCTCTCTGGAGATTTGGAGCATGGAGAAGCTGGGCAGAATGTCAGGAAGTAGACCTATTTAGATCGCAAGAAGCATGCAGCAAAAACCCACTAATAAATATATCATACACCAACAATAAATGTAGCTACAATGTAGTGGTGCATGCATTGTATTAGCCATGCAAGATATACTGATATACAGCACATATTCATTATATATACTCATCGGTCATTTTTTCAATAAACATTTAGTGAGCACCTACTATGCGCCAACACTGACCTAGGTACAAATGATAGCGATAGATGATGTCCCAACTTCCACAGAGCTTACATGCTTGCAGCTACCTTCTCTCTGTATTGCTGGTGTCTGTCTGAAACACAGCAGGCACGCAAGATAACGCATTGGGGTTAAGCAAACGGTGTTATTACATGATCAGAAGTGATTAATGAAGGAGGGAACATTCGTGAAAGCATACACACCATTCACATAGAGATAAATAGACATGTAGCATGCATGCTTGCTGGCCTCCCCAGCATCCCTTAAGAGAATCATTAACCCTTGTTAAACTCCCAAGCTACTCCCCCCTAGAGCATGAAAACTAGTGTTGGCAGAGTGGGAAACAGTTCACATGATAATTAGGGGATACAATTAAAATCATCTCTTCTGATGTTTAATTAGAGGCTAATATTTAAAACTGTTGTTTGTTTTCTCTGCCCAGGGCATCTTAATCTTCAGAGGATCCTCTCCCATATGCAGATGCACAGGACAAGCCTACATCAATCTCTGGACTCCGGAGGTTGCCTCTCTAACCTTTCAAAGTGCCCCCCAAGACCTCCAAAAGTTAATTTCACATAGTTTACATTATAGATCAGACTATTTGGAAACATTCCCCCACCTCAAAAAAAAAGACCTGATGAAAATTCATCTTATTATTTTCTTCGATGCAGTAAACATGAATAGGAACTTCATGTTACAGATCCTGGTGCTCAAAAAAATTGTATATACATACATGCTATTTTATTGACATGTACATATACAAATGTATGTGCATATGTGTATATATAGATACATACATACAAATATTCCTAATTTGACGCAAAGCACATACTTGTTGAATTGATTAATAAGTAATAAATCTCCTACATGGACAGGCACTCTGCTAAATGTTTGAAATGCCTTACCTCACATTTATAAACACCCTCAGAGTCCAATTTATATAATGTATTATATAAATACATTAACTGAAGAATATTAAAAAGCAGTAGCAGAGTTATTATTTCTGTGTGTTGAAATAGCAGGTGATTTTTAAATTTTCCTGGGTATATTTTTTAAGATTTTCTGCAAAGAGTACGAATTACTTTTATTATTGGAAAATTAAAAATATACAAGCTTATTCTTCTTTGACATCACAAGAAAGAGTCGGTCCCCTGATTGACCAGCTTGATGCCTTGCAGCCTC